ACGTTATCAGATAGAGGGCTAGTATCCAAAATCTATAAAGAACTTATCATACTCAACACCCAAAGAACAAATAATCCAATCAAGAAATGGGCAGAAGACATGAACAGACATTTTTCCAAAGAAGACATCCAAATGGCCAACAGACACATGAAAAAGTGCTCAACATCGCTCGGCATCAGGAAATCCAAATCAAAACCTCAATGAGATACCACCTCACACCAGTCAGAATGGCTAAAATTAACAAGTCAGGAAATGACAGATGTTGGCAAGAATACGGAGAAAGGGGAACCCTCCTACACTGTTGGTGGGAATGCAAGCTGTTGCGGCCACTCTGGAAAACAGTATGGAGGTTCCTCAAAAAGTTGAAAATAGAGCCACCATACAACCCAGCAATTGCACTACTGGGTATTTACCCCAAAGATACAAAAGTAGTGATCTGAAGGGGTACGTGCACCCCGATGTTTATAGCAGCAATATCCACAGTAGCCAAACTATGGAAAGAGCCAAGATGTGCATCAACAAATGAATGGATAAAGACGATGTGGTATATATATACAATGGAATATTATGCAGCCATCAAAAAATGAAATCTTGCCATTTGCAATGACGTGCATGGAACTAGAGGGTATTATGCTAAGTGAAATAAGTCAATCAGAGAAAGATATGTATCATGATCTCACTGATATGAGGAATTCTTAATCTCAGGAAACAAACTGAGGGTTGCTGGAGTGGTGGGGGCTGGGAGGGATGGGGTGGCTGGATGATAGACATTGGGGAGGGTATGTGCTATGGTGAGCGCTGTGAATTGTGCAAGACTGACAAATCACAGACCTGTACCTCTGAAACGAATAATACATTATATGTTTAAAAAAAAAAGAAGATAGTAGGAAGGGAAAAATGAAGGGGGGGAAATCGGAGGGGGAGACAAACCATGAGAGACTGTGGACTCTGAGAAACAAACTGAGGGTCTAGAGGGGTGGGGGGATGGGTTAGCCTGGTGATGGGTATTAAAAAGGGCACGTACTGAATGGAGCACTGGGTGTTATATGCAAACAATGAATCATGAACACTACATCAAATAAACAGATAGATAGAGAGACAGGTTATAAAATACAGTTTCCGAGACATGGTAAGGACTCAATAAATGAACTCAATAAAAATAAAAAAGATTTACATTCAATAACATAACGATAACAAAGTTGAGATGGCGTAACAGTTCACTAAAATCCTCTCCACCTAGATTCTTTTTAGGAGAACAGTGCTTAAGAGATTTACTCGTTGGTCTCCTCTTTTAAGGAAAAAGAAGGGAATGGGGGCGGGGGCAGCAGCATGAAACTGAGAAGAAAATATTTCTTGAGGATTTAACAGGTGCTAGGTACTTTACAGGTTTAATTCTTTTAAACTTTAGGATTTACTTTCTCACAAGATTATCATTTTTTTTAAACAGATAAGGAAGCTGAGGCTAAAAACAAAACAATAAAAAAACACTGCATAATTCATCTGAAGTCACAGAGCTAGCAAGTGGCAGAGAGGTCTGAGAACTTTTGTTTCACTCTAAATTCTGTATTCTTTCTAGTTCACCATGCCAGCACTGAAATACAGATCTTATATGTAACAAGTACTAATGAAGTTTTACCCTTAGTAAAACTTAGTAAACAGTTTTCTCCCCTAAATTATAGAATTAAAAAAAAAATACTCCACAATTCCACTGATTGTTGGTTTTAAGTTAACAGTTTTAAAACTAGACTAGGACCTTCCTGAACTTCCAGGACTAACCTCTTTCATTAGTTTATGACACTGAAGTCTAGAGAGATTAAGTGCCATCCTAAAAGTCACACAGCTTCTTAATAGCTGAACTGGAGCCAGAACCAAGCCCCTCAGAGCTTTCAATTATCCCTCAGAGCTACAGCCTTACCTAAGGGCTTCTCTCCTTTTCTAATTTGAAAAGTAATTCTTAATATCAAAACTAAAATTAAAAATATTCTTGACCTTTAACAAGTTCAAACTATAAGGGTCTGAACTAAAAGGCAGAACCTAAGAATAACTGATAATCATGTAAATTTTTAAAGCCCTCTGTCAAAGTGAACTATAAATCTTCTACTGTAACTCAACATGTATTTTCTCAAGAAACTTCTACCATTAACCAGCCAATTTTGTCACATTTGCTCAGAATCATCAATATAAAAATACTACAGATACCCTGGCTAAAGTAGATCCCAGTATTTCTGTTTTCAAAGATTAATGCGAAGTAAAAATTAAATTCAAAGGAAAACAAATTTACTACCAGCCAGAAGCCAAAGCTTTTTTATTCTATAAGCATGTATGTACCAAGAGATGGTAGAAAATGGCCTTTATTTACAGTGAGAAGTAACTGTATTCATTCATGAAACAATCACTGAAACAGGGCATTGGAGTACCAATTATTCATTAGCAGAGGGGTGTTCATTTGCCTCTGCTGTAAAACACAGCCCCTCAATTCTTCCAGCATGCCTCCCATGGAGAGGTGTGTCCATGCCCACTCGCCTGGAATCTGGGCTCTGTAACTGCCTGCCCAACACAACACAGCAAAAGTGACACTGTGCCAATTTCCAGGCCCAGGACTTAAGAAACCGGCAGTTTCCATTTCCTATATGTTGGGACACTCACTCTTAGAGGAAACTACAGTCACCACAACTTGCCAGTCATATGAGTGAGCCGTCTTCAAAGTCCCCAACCCTTGGGTGAATCACATCAGCCCATGCTGAGTGCAGCTGAGATAAAATGCCTCACCAAGCCCTGCCCCAACTGCAGCTTTGTGAGCAAAATAAAAGACTTTATAAAAAAGACTATGTTTTGGGGTGGCATAATAATAATAAATGAAACACTAGCATTTTCAAATGTATCTAAAGCCACAGAAGGAAATTAACTGATGAGAATTTGTTTTGTTGGAGTGAGGGGGACGTACAGGAAAATGTATAACTAGAGATGAGAAATCAATTCTTCATAGCTGTTCTTCCAATTTAATTAATATTAACCTTTCTATGCCTGAATTTCTCCACCTGTAACATGGAAGTAATGACTACTACACTTTAGAGTTATGAGAAATAAATGTTAGTATTTGTAAAGTATCTAAAACAGGTCCCAGTACATAGTAAGCAGTGAGTGTATTTTTTAAATCTTTTTGATGACCATCCACATAGCAGTAATAAACTAGAGTGTCCCTTGTTGTTACAGAGCCCAAACCAATGAGGCCAGTGGTCACTGTCTGAATGCCTTACTCTAAGCACAATGCCTGATAACTGCTCAATAAATACGTGATCAGCTCAGTTTTATACAATTTACAAAAGCTCTGGGGTGCTCAGGTGGCTCAGTCAGTTAAGTGTCCAACTCTTGATCTCAGCTCAGGTATTGATCTTGGGGTCATGAGTTCAAGCCCTGCGTTGGGCTCCATGCTGGGAGTAGAGCCTACTTTAAAAAAAAAAAAAAGCTTAATAGCTTTACAGTTTACTTGGAAAAGAAAGGCGTATCTGCTTTTGAATGAAAATCAAACTATATAATGACAAGAGAAAGATTACTTTTTTGAAAAATAAAGTACAAATTAATTGAAGGTTTAAGAGAAAAAAAATTCATCTTTTTCCTGACTTTATGTATTTACGTGGAGAGGCCTTTATGTGGAGACTCTTCACAGGGTGTGACCTTGTAAAATATCATGAATCTATGGAAAGCTCACACGGATCAGAAGAGAGATTTCTCTCACCAGATCTGGACGACTATATTCTCTTTGAATATTCTCTTTGCATATGCCCAATAAAATTGATTTCCAAATTAATGACAAATATAAAAACATATTCAAAGAGTAAATAAGCTTTTCTACCAAATGGTAGCATTTCTCTAAAAAATTTTAACAGGAAAGACTTCAAAATGCTGTGTTCTATTTTACAGTGAAAGCAAAGACAATGTCAACTTCAGAGATAATACTTAAGTGCTGGTCCCAAGATTCTGGTCTCTATTCTGATTCTAGAATCTGTTGGGAACATAATAATGAAACAAATATTACCTTAATCTATCATATTATTTGAAAACTTGGCCTTTTTAAAATAAACTGGCCCAATGTTTAACAATTCATTCTCTTCATTTTCTTAATTTAAACTCAAAAATGAAAAAGAGTTTATGGTCAAGCTTAGAACAATTCTTCCGTAAATACTGGTAAGAGTTCACTGTGGTAGAAACTAATCATGACTATGAGAAAAGCAAAAAATACATACTATAAATCCAAGTATGTGCCAAATTCTAAAAAATGACTTCAATGATATACCGCATAAAACATGAACTTTTAAAAGATGCTGAGACATTAGCTTGCAGGGACTTTCCTAAACTCCACTTAGAGAGGTATACTCTTTTAGGAAAGGTAGGCTAAGACACCACCTACTGTGAGGGGGCAGGGGGCCCAAGAACAGGGGGGAGAGAAAAACTAACTGAACTTGGTGCTTTGATCTGCTTACTTACCAATCTACGTTGCCAAGTTAAATCTTTTATAAATCCCAATTCATAGAAGAAAAAACCAGGACCAGAGGCTGAGAAGCTCGCCTAAGATATAGTTAATAAATAACTAGACTAGACTAGGCTAGAGAAGGGATTTCACACCAAAGAGTAAAAATCAGAGACAATTCTGTGCTACCATTTCAAAGATACAACATAGTGCTCCTTCTAGAATTACCAGTAACAAAGCTAGGGTGAACCGCTTAATAGTATTTCCCCCATTGTCGGGGAGAAAAAAGGTAAGTATCAGGCCAGATATAAAGGCATTGTCCAATGACCTGGCTAAGCTGCTCTCAGCTCTCTAGGGGACTTTAAGTCACATTTTCAATTCCTCCAGGTCTCTCTCTATAGAACTGGACTTGCAACACCTCTTGCTATACGAATCAGATGTCAACACTGGCTGTATATGCCAAAACTCTCTGATCAAAAATCAAAAAGATCATTGCTAGTGTTATCTCATCCCTGAAGGTTGAATTACTTACGCATTAGGCTGTAAATGTGCTTTTCTGCAACATGTTCCGTAAACAGCTTTATAAGGTCATCTTTTAGGTCTCTGTTAAGCTTGGTTTCGATGTAAAACTTATTCTGAAAAAGAAAATAGTTTTTTAGTGCCTCAATTAGGGGGAAATGATTTGTCTAATGAGCTGAAGCACCAAAAAATAATTTTAGGGAACAATTAATAAAGGTATCGATTAAAACATAAAAACCCAACATCAAAAAACAAAAGCCCTGCTACTATTAGTTGTCTTTCTGGCATGGGGTTAAAGCACATAAAGACAAAATGTTATGAACCATACACCTCCCAAAGAACACAGGAAGACATTAACTAAACAGAGAGGTAGAGACAAATGGACCACACTGTGTGACAGGCACATAATATTCCTTTTAAAAATACTCTATCACCATCAAAAGGCAACAACAGGAAACACTAATAAAAGGTACCCCGTTTATCAATGATCTAGGCTGAAAGCAGGCAGTGGACATGCACTGGTTGACTCCCCAACATACAATCCACTTCACTGATTACTCTAAGTTACTCAGCTTATGGCATTCTTAGGAGTGGTCTTTGGTTCAAAGGCTGACATGTGACCCCACATAGAGCAATCAGATTGAGAGAAGCCTAGGCTTCAGTGCAAAGTATCTTATAACTCATCTTATGACCATGAGAACAAGATGAAACAGATGCTGTAGTACATCAAGGAGATAAGAACGAACCTGAGTCCCTGTAACACTATTGAATCATGGGATTCAATCAACCCTAGAGACTGCCATATTTGCTTATTAGTTTTATTACAAGAGATTAATACTTTTCCTTATTTACTGAAGTCACTTTGAATCAGGTGTTCTGTTTTTCTGTAGCCAAAAGCATCATGATTAGAATGAGTGGCAAGTCAAACAAGACTGAATTTGTTCATGTTTAAATGTTAACTCAATGTATAGGTGTGGAAAATAAAAACAGGAATGTTAACAAGTTGCTCACTGATTCTCTTAATTCTTAAACAGAAGATTATGAAAATTATAAAAATAACATGCACATGGTAACAAAACCATGCAATAAAAACCAGTCTCCCAAAGCAGACCCTCCGTTGCATTCTCAAAGGCCCCATTCGAATGGGAAAACATTCGTATGTTCTTTCTAAAATGCTCCTTGCATATATATGGATATATATATCTGGATATGCTTTTTTATCCCCAATAAAAAAAAAACACTTGCTATGAAGAAATATCATATACTGTGTTGCATTTTGCTTTTTCACCTAATGTATCTGGAGATTTCTCTCTAAACGTACAGACATGTCATTACCTTTGACTACTTGTTTTTCTACTGTAAATATCTCCCCACAAATTAACAGTCCTCTGCTGATAATACAGATTCCTCTCAATGTTCTGTTTTGTATTTTTTTTCAGTGAAGTATATTTTATAAAGAAGAAATCATTTTGAAGATCAGTACTCCACATATAGCAATCTTTATGCTACAGAATGTAGGATGATCAACCCAAACATCCCATTGTCTAATCTAATAAACAAAGAAGAATTGGGATAATGGTTGCTAACGGCCCCTGCCTTCAATAGGAATACTAACATTAAGATTCCATGATTTTATATATTTAGGAGAGAGAAGGGGCTAATCAACAAAATCCAGAGACTACAAATTATACTCATGGTGTAATTCTCCAAAATGAAAGAGATCACATCACCATAATGGAAGAAAATTTTATTATTCTACTTTCTCTATGGCATGACTTACTTGGCATTTATCATATGTCATGTTTTTAGATAGATGGCTTAACTCTCTACTTTCTGAAGACAAGAAATCTTTCTTATATATCTTTATTTTCCAAGCACAGTATCTTCTGTATGGCAAAAATAAAATAAATGCTGAGTACTGATTATTAATGCCTAATTGTCTATTCAGCAGTGTTATTTATGGAATTTTTAAACAGTAAAAGGGTAAACAATTCTACGTCAACACAATCAAACATTACTAAAATAGATTAACTTCCATTTCTAACATAATACATAGCAAAAGATAAACAGAACATGCTTAACTGCATCTATCTGTACTTAGACCAATAAACAGAGATATTTGGAAAGGGAAAACAGCTCTTACTTACCATATATATGAAAAGAGGCACAATGCTCTGCAATGCTCCCATATACTGTCCAAGAGCTATATTAAATCTTTCAATATAGAGATCTGGAGGGCTGGCCTGTGAGAAAGAACATTAAATGTGATCGTTCTTGGAAACCAGTTAAAGACTTTTCATCCACCACAATCTAAAATGCAAACAGACTTAGAAGTCCAAGTCAAAATTCATTCTTTCAAAGACTTTTTTTATTTGAGAGAGAGAGAGAGAACACGCGACGGCAGGGAGGGTGGGGGGGGGTGGAGAAGCAGACTGCCCACTGAGCAGGAAGCCCAAGGCAGGGTCTGATCCCAGGACCCGGAGATCATGACCTGAGCTGAAGGCAGAACTTAACCGACTGAGCCACCCAAGCACCGCCCAAGTCAAAATTCATATTGAAATTTACAATAAAGAAAAGGAGAAGACATATCCTGAAGGTTAGTTAAGACTTCTATCTTTGTTCCAAAATCTGCTATGCAAAACGGAGGTTTGGTTTAGCTGTCTTTAAAAACTGTGTAATTTTACCATGTTAGCTAAAAAGGCTTGCTCAGTTAATGAGTAAAAAGTTGCATTCACAAGTTGTGTTTCTTAAGATAAATGAGTTTAAAAACTGTCACTCAACTATGTGGACATTTCCTATAGGAACCAAACTATATTTGAGCCTAGAATAAGAAGAAAGAGAGAAAAAATTCAGGGAAATGGTACAGGTTTAACATACTATTAGAATGGTTGCTGAATTTTTATAATTACCTTCGGCACAGTAATATTCTGACTTCTCTACCAACTTGGCTGTAAACCACTTCTATAGCTAACCAATTAGCTACAAAGCAGAGACTTAAATGGTCCATATACATCTACAGCTCTGGAGAGTAATACATGCCTGGCTTTTAACTCACTGTTACCAAAATACCAAGTCATAAAGCCAGCAAAAGAAATACTTTCAATTTTACTGCATGTTATGGGCTAAATTATGTGTCCCCCTTCCCAAATTCCTATGTTGAAGCCCAAACCAGTGTGGCCGTATGTGGGGTAAGGAAGCAATTAGGCTAAATAAGGTCAGTAAGAGTGGAGTGGAGCCCTGATCCTTTAGGATTAGTGCCCTAGGACACCAGGCAGCTCGCTCTCCCTTCCCCCTCTTCCTGTCTCTTGCCCTCTATCCTATCTCACCCCCCAGCACACTTGGAGGAAAGGCCACGTGAGCATTCAGCAAGCCCGCAGCTATCTACAAGCCAGGAAGAGAATTCTCATCAGAAACCAAATCAGCCTTAATCTTAGACTCCCCAGCCTCAAGAACAGGGAGAAGTACATTTCTGTTGTTTAATCCACCCAAAGTCTGTAGCATTTTGTTATGGCAGCCCCAGCGGACTAAGGCACTATGCTTTACGAAAGTATATCCATCCACTGTTTAATTTTATTCTCTAAAGCTAAATTAATTAGGTACCATTTTAATACTGAAGAAACGCACAAATGGGCAAGTCACTTGTCTAAAATTAGAGTGTTAAAAGAGGATACATCCAGGTCTCCCAGGTAAGAATTCATTCCAGGGCCAGAGAGTTGGGGAGAGGGGATGGCACAAATCGTCATGCAAACAAAAGTGACTCGAACCACTGGCAGTCTCACTACTGGACAACCATACCCTGGTACAGAAAGTCTTGCTTTCAAACGAGGAAAATAGCAAAATGCCACACTGAAAGATTCCAAAATATTAAACAATGAAATTAAAAAACTACTTCAGGTAAGATGTTTTAGAAATGTCCAAATGTTCCAATATTTTTTCTTTTTTTTTTTTTAAGATTTTATTTATTTGACAGAGAGAGACACAGTGAGAAAGGGAACACAAGCTTGGAGAGTGAGAGAGGGAGAAGCAGGCTTCCTGCTGAGCAGGGAGCCCAATGCAGGGCTCGAACCCAGGACCCTGGGATCATGACCTGAGCCGAAGGCAGACGCTTAACGACTGAGCCACCCAGGCACCCCTCCAATACTATTTTTAAAATAAGATTTCATTTCTATTTTTTTCAGGTCTACTTAGATATTAGAACATGTGTAGTGAACTGTCCTTACTTCTAGTTCATCTTCCATGATTGCATATTTAGAGATTTGGCACACACTAGGTCCTTACATTTATTTCTCTTAGTCTTCCTAATTACCTGCAATCTGAATGTTACTGCCATTTACATATGAGGTCACTAGGGTTCGGAGTCACTTTATCTACAGTCCCACACTAAGCCCAAGAACGAAGAATCAAACCTTAGTCAATCTGAGTCCTTCCATCGATTTACACTACATCCCTCTTTTAGCATGCTGTACCTTAGAAAACTTTAGGGCACACGGTCTCTCTGCTTTCACATCCTAGTCTTCTCACACACAGCCCAGCACAGTACTCCCACGGCACGACTAACTCTTCAGTGTGCTGCTTCAGACCTCCTCGAATCTTTTCTTCCTGAATGCCTTTATCACTACCCTGGCTAACTTCTATTCACTCTTCAAGATTTGTGTCACTTCCTCAAAACTGTTGGAAACAGGGGCGCCTGGGTGGCTCAGTTGGTTAAGCGACTGCCTTCGGCTCAGGTCATGATCCCAGGGTCCTGGGATCAAGCCCCACTTTGGGCTCCTTGCTCAGCAGGGAGTCTGCTTCTCCCTCTCCCTCTGCTGCTCCCCCTGCTTGTGCTCTCTCTCTCTCTCTGTGTTAATAAATAAAATCTTAAAAAAAAAAAAAAAAAAAGAAACCTGTCGGAGACATTCTGCCCTCATATAGAGCACCATTCCACTTCTTCACTTTTCCCACTAGGTGGCCTCTGCCACTAAACTTCAAGCCCCTGGAGGGAAAGACCTGTGTCTTATCTTCATACCTCCATAGCTCACCACAAAACCTGGAAGACAGCATGCAGAGATAAACAAGGACAGTGTTGCCTAAAACTAAATTTGCTTAAATCTAAATCTAACCTAGCCTTGTTTCCATCTAAACTGCTTTCTTACTATCTAACAAGGTTGTATTTAGGCAATTCATTTAGCCCTCTGAATTTCAATTTCCATAACTATAAAATAGGAAAAATACTAATTGCGCTACTTCCAAGATGTGCCAACAATCAAAGAAAATAATATGTGTGTGCTTTGAAAAATGTCAGACGTTATAAATGCACATGCAACTACTGAGTACTGATGGTAAATAAACTCTTATGAATTAACTATTTGTCTAATACTTCAGAAAAACCTATTAATATTATTAAAGGCATTCTCTGTTAACTAAAGAAATTGGGGAAAATGGTTCTACATTATGGGCAAACTTTTAACTATAATGGGCAGAATCACATGTAATACCTCTTTCTAAACTGCTGCAAAGAACTCTGGAAATGATATTTCAGCATTCAAAGAAATAAATTTTAGAAGTATTATATGAGAAAAAAAATCCGAAGTTTTTGCATTAAAATAATTTTCCCTTTTCATAAAAAGACACTTTATCTATTCAAAAGTTAAAAGTATGAACATTGATCAAAAGGCACACTTAATAGCAGAGAGAATAAATAAAATTGAATTCCTTAGTTATTCTTTTCAAGAATTTCCAAAGCCTCAAAAGTTATGAGTATTAAAAAGCACTTTTTGTACTAAATCAAATGTCAGAACATTTATTTAGCTTTTTAGTTCCACATTTCATGCTGCACTTATTAAACCTTTTAAATGACAGGACTATAAATTATAAGTCTTCTAAAATAAATCCAATCTCTTTACAAGGAACCAGAAATAACTGCCATTAAAAAAAAAAATAACAAATTGTTCCTCCTTAAAACTTAAGTTCAGTATACTTTGGGCCCCACTGGGGGAACTGCTACCTGTTTGATTTACATTATTTCAATATGAATGTATTTGGCTTGGACATTAAATGAAATTTTTTACCCTAAAACAAGCAAGTTAGAAAGAAAAGAAAAGAAAAGAAAAGAAAAGAAAAGAAAAGAAAAGA